GGCGTTTGGACGATGTAGATGTGTATTTAGCGTAGTTAAGTTAAATTGCATCTGATGTAAAACAGTTCTTTTGGCTCATTCTTTTGAGTATCATACAAAACAGCTCGGTTGCAGAAGTTCCCATCACCAGTCTGTGCTGATGCATCTTTCGAAATGAAATCTTTGAAATTAACAATCGTATTTAGTACAGAATTATTTCATTCGTTTTTTTCTGAAATGTAAAATAAGAATTTAAATCAAACAGTTATTCTGGGCAAAGATTTGTCAACGATAGGCGTTAAAACCCGTGATCACAGGGCTGTGAGATTGTGTGGTGACGACATGCAGTCGTCAGAATGTAAACAAAGTGACGTGACATGTTTTACAGAAACGTCGTAATCAACTCAGAAATTTTCCCGTGACATGCAGCGAGAGAGGGTAAATTAAGGTAGCTGATATAGACAGATGTCTGTGAATTGTGACGTAGTGGCTCATTCTCTAAGAGATCTGCTTCGTACTCAGGAGGTGATACGTTCGATTCCACTCGAAAGCAGTCTTTTTCTAATTCACTAATTACATTCAGCAATCAGTTTACCACACATTGCTTCAGACCTGAGTTGCTCAGTCGGTAGACCCTCGAGCCGATAGGTCTTGAGTTCAAGCCCCTGTCGGCGTCGTTCGCTTTCTTCTTTCTGAGGTTGATATATGAGTGTCACTCTGTTGGAAAGCAACAGGAGATTAAACGTTACCCTTGCTACGTGGTTGTGAACTCTGTCTTTAAAATAAGGTATTCTGGCTGAAGAATAAAATCAGAGATCAGTCCCGCACCATCAACTTCATGAAAGGAAGCTAAAATGGTCCAGTCATGAAAGTCAAGGAAGTCCGACAATACAACTGTAACAGACTTTCTTTTCCTGTGAATTATATGGTTTTAGGCTACAGGGTGGAGCTAAGAAGATGGGGGCGGAGCTGAGAGGATAGTCAGAGAACTGCACTCTGAGGGTGACAACCTCTCTTCTCTAGAACAGTAGCGCTAACATTTCATAAATCTTTAGAGAGGCGTACGAGACAGCACGTGAATTTACGTCCTGCAGGCTCTAGCATGACTATATTATAGCACAACGCCATACTCTCCCAAATTGCTGGCAGGTTATGCATTTGCTGGTATTAGTTTCTCGTCATGTTGCCTGCGTGAAATTTGCTTCAGGGAGTTAATTTCTTGTTAATGGGGATTAGCCAATAATAAAACAAAATTTTTTCGTCCTTGAATTCGAACCGAGAGCTCAGCTGAATCACTTGCCGCTATTCCTTGTGTTTGCTTGGCTGAATTTCTTTAACTATGGGTTTTGATAGTTGTTTGATACTGTTTCTTTTAGTCAATTGTTGGCCTTCTGAAACATCGTCCGGTTGCGAAGTGAGCATTGAGTACACGCTGGAAAACGAGGACATGGAACTAAACAATGTTCAAATCTCTATACCTTTGCCGTAAGTTAAGTATTAGTAGTTAATAGGTACGCGATTCATTTTTATTTTAAGTTTTATGGTTTTTTCCATATATTCAGGCATTTGACTTATCTACTTATAGCTGCTGTTTTATTTTTACTTTTTTGTCAACCTCTGACTTTCTGACTTTCCTCTACGTTCTTAATTCATCCAGTGTTTTTGGTTTCTAGTTCTTTTCGGAGTAGGGCTCTACTTTGCTTTCCATAGGTTGTCTTTTAATTAACCGAGTTGTGCATCATGTAATGTTGTCTTTGTTCTGTTTGTTGAGACTGTCACCTTGAGCAATTTGCTTAGGCGGAACGTTTCTGGTTTTTGATATCCGCTGTTTCAACAGTTTTGGTATACGGCACTGTTTACTGCATCGCAGAAGGAAATATTCCTCTGATGTGAACAAATCTGCTTGTACCTTGTTCCGCCATGTTGCATGCTCGCCTCCTGGCCCACATCTGCCGTGTTTCTGCAACCACAGAAGTTCGTGGACTGGAGCAAATAATGTTCACTGAACCAGTTTGTCTATCAACTAATCTGCTTTCCTTAATCTCCACAGCTAGTGAGGTCACCAATGTCCAGAAGATAATGTCATTCCTTTCGTTGTCATGCCATTTATCCCTCATTATATGTCGAAACCAACTTGCTGTGCGCACTTAAACCATCGTCCTTGCTTCTCCGTTAGAACAACTATCTCCATTGCACACAGCAACACTAATTTGGCAGTGACAAGGTCAGGCGGGTTTTCTTCAGAGTAGGACTTCTGTCTTAGCTTAAATATTAGTCAGGTTTCAAAAAGCACTCTACTGTGGCACACCTATTCAACTCTGACTGTTGGAGTCTAAATGCTTAAATTGGTGTACTTGTTGAAACCTTTACTTTTAAGTCAGCTATATCAAATGGATTTCTCATAACTCTTGACTTCCTTGAGTCAAAGAAGAAGCAAACTTTCGCAGCTATGTTTGCTTTCTCCCCACCCCAGAATGTTGCCTGTGTCTTTGCCTAGGTTAGCACTGTTTCGAAAAAGAAGGTCATGTCATTTACCTCATGGAAATGAACTCCGGCCTTTGCTGTCATTGAAAATTCAAATTTTTGTTGTACAGTTAGGCAAGCATCTAAAGACACAGCAAAATCTGCGTTTTCGGTCCTTAGGTACCCACAAAGGTCTATATAATTTCTGAAGCTGTGAAACGATAGTTGAAAGTTGAGTTTTGATTATATTTTTGATAAAATCTGTCTAAGGGGGCATTATGAAAAGAGAAACCAGAGCTATGTAATTATGCGAAATACAGTAAAACCTGATTAACCTTAAAAATAATTCAATGGAACAAAAATTTAAATTCAGATTATAGCTGAATCGAAATGTATAAAAGTGAAACTGTCTGTTATAAATAAAATACAAATATTAATGGAAGAGTCAGGAAGCACACTTTTTTAAAGTGATATTACATCAAACTCGAGTAGATTTGATTTATTTTCAGACCTAAAAATTTTAATGAAGTGCAACAGAATGTTAGCTTTTTCATTACCTTCACTAAGGTACATGATGTGGCATAAAACACTCGTTAAATTACTCAAATATTATTAAAGAAACGAAAACAAAATTCAGTCAGGGATTAAATTGGTGCTAGTCCCTTTCATGTTGTGACTATCCTCAGTAGATGTTGCATTACGACTCTTTAGTTCTACGTTCGAATCGCAAATGTGCCCAGACATTGGTCGATGTTCTCTGTGTGAAATGAAGCTAGTTCTGCTTCCCAAAGTGATTGCGCTCTTGCCTAAACATGTCAGTGCGTAGATCTCACATGTTTCACTAGAGAGTCAGGCGAAGCCCAAGCATTTATTCAAATTATTTTCTTGTTAATTTTGTTTCGAATTATCCCAAATTTCAATATATCAGCTTACTTTTATATTAACATTGTTTGTTTTCGATAGGTCTCCAAGAACATCGCGGTTATATTTTGTCCTAAATTTAAATGATCACCCACCATCAGACATTTGCTGCATAGTCTCGACGACTGTTGACCAACAGACCGGAAAGCGCGACTTTCAGCAACAAGATTTTCTCGTTAATCTTACAAAGGAGCAGTTAGACGTGGACCTAACTCTCTGATAATTGTTCTATGTTTAGCGGAAGTTGGACTGCTCAAGCCGTAGGCAGTTCCTGTTATCTGTTCCACCATTGGAATGTGGAGTTGAGTCGGCAGTGCGATTGCGGTCAAAAAAATCAGACCATAAACACATTTCAACGCCCACTGCGGAAGTTCAGTCACTTGATAAGTTGTGTTTGCATCTGCTCATATATCACTGCCTTACTCACGCAACCGGAAATGTTCATTTAATGTTACTTATCACTTATGGTCAGGTGCTGGACGAGGAAAGAGGAAGAAAAAGCGCCATCAACGTTTATGTGTGTCAGTTTTTCTTCAAGTCTAGGATTCGGTTTTCATTTTTGAGTAGATAAATGATCACCACTTCACCAAGAGAACAAACAGGAATGTTTGATAACTAGGTGTAGATATTACCTTAAGTCAGTCCTTGCAAATAACTTCTACATAGCGCTAAATTCCATAATGAAAATACAAAAGGCCTCCATCTGAACGGTTCAGGCTTTCTTTCTTCTGCCTTTTTATTGGTCTTTAACTAGGCTAATATCTAAACGCGGAAGCCACGTTTATTCTGCTCTCAGCAATCTGCGCTGTGAATCAGAGCTGACTTTATATAAATACCTTGAGGCACTGCTTGAAACGTAGGTTTTAATCTATCATCGTGAGTCACCCTTCCCCGCACTCCACATTCACCCAGTCTTGGGCCGTTGCTGATATTATAGATGGCTTGTTGATTTACTGTTGAAGGCACCAAACCGCAGATATGAACTATTGATAATGCGTTTTACTACGCGCGCAGTTGTATAGTCGGAGCACAATTAATATGCAAGCAGCCTTACACACAAAATACTTCGATTTAAAGTGACTGTCAGATCATCATTAGAATTTATTTAGCATATTCACAATTTAATCATCGTTATCTTCCATGACCGCTTCTCGTTTCCGCTTGCGGAAACAAGCGTCTCATAGAGTGCCAGACTGACCCTCGGCACAAGACAACCGGAGTCTGGAACAGACTCCCTCCATATATTTGCACGAGGTTAATTTTGGCCGTCCCCTGGACCTTCTACCGGTCGGATTCGCAAGAAATTGTTGCTTACCCTTCCTTTCTGGAAGAATTCGCAACACATGGCCAAACCATCGCAGTTGTGACTTGTCAATCTGGAGATGCAAAGGCTCTCCCGGATGGCGGCATTCCGGACCGGTAAGGCCAGCGACTTGTCTAAGAAAACCCATTTCAGTACCTGGGTAGTTTTTCCATCATGGTTCACGACTGGTGACCATAGGAAAGCATGGGGATGAAGATTGACTTGAACACCAAGAGCATAGTTTTGAGACTGAGCTCTGCTTTAGTCAAAATGAACCGGAGGAGTTCAAGCAAAATGTCTCTGGCTACTCCAATTCACCGGTCGATCGCTTCCTCAAATTTTCCATCACTAGTAAATACAATTCCGAGGTATTTCCGCTTCTCCACCTACTCCACTGCCTCTACGTTAATCTGAAGAAAGCAACGGGCAGGAGAACGAGAAAGCACTAGAGCTTTTCGTTTTAGATACGTTCACACTCATGCCGGTTACGTCGTACTCGGTTGCGAACCTTTCTAGGAGATCAGTTTCAGAAGATGCCAATAAAACAAGGTCGCTTGCGAACAGCAACCTTCTCGTCTTCACATCTCCTACACCGATACACTCGTCGCCTTGGCAGCTCCTGACTATTCTATCCATGTACAATACAAACAGAATAGGTGACAGCACGCAGCCTTGACGGAGAACAGTGCGAACGTTAAATCGTTTCGACATAACGCGATTTACTCTGACGCAGCACCTGCTATCAGAATACAGTGATCGGATGGCCCTTAGCAGTTGGCCATCTATCCCGTATGCTCGAATGTATGGCCACGCTGTTGTGTGGGACCCGATCATATGCTTTTTCTAGGTCAGCAAAACATATGTACA